GGTCCGTGAGTTCGAGCCCCGCGTCGGGCTCTGGGCTGATGGCTCAGAGCCTGGAGCCTGTTTCCGATTCTGTGTCTCCCTCTCTCTCTGCCCCTCCCCCGTTCATGCTCTGTCTCTCTCTGTCCCAAAAATAAATAAAAAAAGTTAAAAAAAAAAAAGTTTAAAGATGGTGTGGTGCTGGCACAAAAACAGACAGTTAGGTCAATGGAACAGAATACAAAGCCCAGAAATGGATCCACAGCTATATGGTCAACAAATCTTCAACAAAGCAAGCAAGAATATCCAATAGGAAAAAGACAGTCCCTTCAACAAATGGCGTTGGGAATACTGGACAGCAACACGCAGAAGATTGAAACTGGACCACTTTCTTACAGCATACACAAAAATAAACTCAAAATGGATGAAAGACTTAAATGTAATACAGGAAAACATCAAAATCCTACAAGAGAAAACAGGCAGCAACATCTTTGACCTTGATCACAGTGACTTCTTACTAGACATGTCTCCAGAGGCAAGGGAAACAAAAGCAAAAATGAACTATTGGGACCTCATCAAGATAAAAAGCTTCTTCACAGTGAAGGAAATGATCAACAAAACTAAAAGACAACTGACAGAATGGGAGAAGATATTTGAAAATGACATATCTCATAAAGGGTTAGTATCAAAAATCTATAAAGAACTTAACCTCAACACCCAAAAAAAACAAATAATCCAATATAAAAATGGGGAGAACACATGAACAGACATTTCTCCAAAGACCTACAGGTAGCCAACAGACACATGAAAAGATGCTCAACATCAGTCGTCATCATGGAAATACAAATTAAAACCACGATGAGGTACCACCTCACCTCACACCTGTCAGAATGACTAAAATTAACAACTCAGGAAACAGCAAGTGTTGTCGAGGATGTGGAGGAACAGGAACCTTCTACCACTGTTAGTGGGAATGCAAACCGGTGCAGCCACTCTGGAGAACAGTATGGACATTCCTCAAAACGTTAAAAATAGAACTACCTTATGATCCAGGAATTGCACTACTGGGTATTTACCCACAGGATACAAAAATACTAATTTAAAGGGGCACATGCACCCCAATGTTTATAGCAGCACTATCAACAATAACCAAATTATGGAAAGAGCTCACATGTCCACCAACTGATGAACAGATAAAGATGTGGTATATGTATACAATGGAATACTACTCAGTGATGAAAAAGAATGGAGCCTTGCCATTTGCAAGGATGTGGATGGAGTTAGAATGAATTATACTAAGCTAAATAAGTCAATCAAAGAAAGACAAATATATGATTTCACTCATATATGAATTTAAGAAACAAAACATAGGAACAAAGAAAAAGAGACAAGCCAAAAAACAGACTCTTAGGGCCCTTTGGTGGCTCTGTCACTTGAGCATCCGACTCTTGATTTTGGCTCAGGTCAAGATCCCAGTGTCCTGGGATCAAGCCCCACATCCATGCACAGCATGGAGCCTCCTTGGGATTCTCTCTCTCTCTCTCTCTCTCTCTCTCTCTCTCTCTCTATCTCTCCCCCACTTTTGCCTCTCCCCCTAACCTCTCTCCCTAAATTAAAAAAAAACCACTCTTATCTATAAAGAGCTAAGTGATGGTTACAGAAGGGCAGGGGAGGGGGCAGGTGAGATAGGAATGCACTCATCGTGATGAAATAAAGTAAAATAAAATGACTTTTAAATTTTACGGAGGCAAATATTTCAGCCTCCATGTCATAGCTGATGACTCTCCTTAGATCTTCTCTCTGTGAGTTCCTGTCACCAGGGGCCTCTTATGCATCACTACCTCTTAATCCCACAAGACTCTCGTAAGCAAGATGCTATTACCTGTGTTTCTGCATATGAGGGATCTTAAGCCTCAGAGCATTCAAGAGTCTTTCCAAGGAAAATCGTGGTAAATGTGGAGCAGGACATAGCTGCACCTCTGCACAGCCTTGCCTCTTCCCTACTCCAAGAAAACCAGCTGGTCTACCCACTGCAGGGGCCTTAGGGAGCCACCAACAGGAAAGCAACTCACCACACAGAGGCCAACTCTGGTGGGTCAGTGGCTGTGGTGGCGGCCCCTCATTGTCTTCATGCTCTGGTAACTGAGGGAGCCATGATTCCTGGTTCTGTCCACCCAGACCCTTTATCCAAAGAGCATCCACTTTCTCTAATACAGTTTAGGTGCCAAGCCTTGACCGATGGCCATTGGGAGCGCCCCAAGAATTCCGAGGCTACTTGGCTCTTCCCATTCACTCACTCCTCGCTGGGAGCCTTTGATGACAGGAGTCTGTGGGGACAGTGGGAAAGGGGTGAGAGCCTCTGAGGCCAAGTCAGGACAGCCCACAAGAGAAAAGCTTGAACACTGCCTCAAAAGTGCATACAGCTGGAACCCCCCCCCGCCCCCGCAAGAGCATGCCAGCAATGGCGAGGGAACGGCAAGGGGGACATCGTGCCACAGACACCCCTCAGTGCCGTTGGCTGAGGATTGAGCTTGGCCTGATCTGCTTCAGCCCAGCCTTCAGGAAAAGAAGGGGAGAAGGAGATGTCATGATTTCTGAGGTCCTGTGAATGTCCAAGTCATTGCAGGGACTGACCAGAGGGACAGGCTTGTCCTACTCTGGGGGGAGGGGTACTGCCCTGAGTAGCCAAGTCTTGGAGCCACTGCTTCCATCACTAATGGCCCGTTGTGGCCGCCCTCCCCGTCCTTGTGGCAGCTCCCATGCCAGCCAGAGAGCAGGTTGAAATGAGGTGTCCATCCAGCAGTATGTGCTCTTGGACCCCAGCGAAAAGAGAACCAACACTCCTAGGTCCGGGGGACAAGACCATGATGGAGGCCCCAGATGGACACAAGGATATGGTCTGGACAAGGAGATTCAGGAGAAGCTGCGGCTTCCTTTCTTGAACAAAAAGCCAGACTGACAATGAGAGTGCATTTGCTCCTGGCCGTCCCTCCTGCTTCAGGAGCCAGTGCCGGCAGCAGCCCCTCTCCCACCACGGAGGAGCAGCCAGACATCCACAGAGGCCCCCGACCACTACCCCATAGCCTCGGCATCTGGGCAGACTCCTGCCCTGACTCCTCACTCACTGAGAAGACTGACGCTGTGGATCCTTTTTCCCGTGCACTGAAAGTGCTCTGTCCTGTGGCATGTGGACCCCGTGGCCAGCCCCTTCCCTCAGGAACGGGAGGAACATATGGGCCTTCTCCGGGCTTTGTTAACTCCCCACTGCATCTTGTGGGCTGTAGGGGTGAAGTGGGGAGCGTGCCAGCAGCCGCTGGACTCTCGCTCTTTCTTTGACCATAGCATGAGTTTGTGTTCCCACCCATTTTGTTTGTTTGTTTGTTTGTTTGTTTGTTTGTGAGCTCTTGCCTTCTTTCTGGTTTTTACTCTTTTTTTGCTCATCATAGGGTATTTGAGGAGGGAAAGTCAGTTTCTCGTTCCTTTCTATTCCCTTTGGTGGCTTCTCACAACTGTTGGTTTATCGGCGGCAGCAGCCATTTGCTCTTGTGTTGCTTCTGGTCTAACAAGTGAAGCAAGAAGGACTTTCCTGTCATGTTTCTCATGCATAAGGACCTTCCTTCTGGGGGAAAATGCTCAGGAGTAAGTTCCCTGATGGCGGAGGCCATCAAGGCAAATCTCAGACACAAAGCCTCTCCCTGTGCACATTAGGAATGTTTTCAACTACTTGCATTCTGGCCATCTGGTCTACCACAGTGTCCGATCCTGGGGGAATGCGACCCTAGAGTGTGATTAGCCCACCAAGGCCTGGAAGGACCTCAAGGCCCCATCTAGCCACTCTTAGCTCACTGGCTGTTTTCAGAAGCACTTGCATGGACATGACATGACTAACAGGGGAGCTGAGTGACAGGGTGCCCTCCCCTCCCATCCCAGGGGTTCAGCCTTCAGCTCCACTGGAGTCTTGCTCGTAGCAGCCGAGCCAGGAGACACCTTCTCAGTCTCCATTCTGGAAGGGGTAGGGCCCCTGGAGGCTGAAGCTATGGGCAGAGCCTGGAAGACTGAGCAGATAGCCCCATTCTGGACACCTCATTACACCGATCCAGACACCATGCCCGGCAATCACTGGGGCACCCACCTGTGACACCCATGTCCTTTCCCTGACGTGTGCTTGTGGTGGAGAGAGGGGCAAGGGCAGGCTCCTGGAACTGGGCTGTGGGATGCTGCAGAAGGAGCCCAGCCTGGGCATGACCACAGCCAGCAGCATGGTTTGCAGGCTCAGGACCCACCACAGCTGCCCCGACCCAAACTCCACATGGATTGCCAGGAAAAACCAGGGATGACAGGTCAGAGATCTTTCTAGAAGGCTCAAAGAGCTCTGCTGAGGTCAGCTCCTACCCTGCCCAGGGGCCCGATAGGACACACTGGTCTACAAGAGCTGAACTGGGTCCTCTGCAGGCCAAACGATGCCTGCAGCCTGGCTGGCTCTCTACTGTGGGGGAGGGCCAGCAGGGCATGAAGGGCACCTTCCCTGCCCCAGCCAGGAACGGAAGGCCCTAGAAAGCCAGAGCAGGTGCTTCCTCAAGGGCCAGAAGCAGACCTTGCCCTTTGGTCCCTAAAAGGAGACAGGAGGCCCCAGAGCCAAGACCACAGCACAAAGAGCCTCCATAAAGGGGCTGGGGCTGCAGGAAGCCCGGTCTGCAAGCCAGAAGCCACCCCCACGGGCCATGGAGGGCAGGCACTGGAGGCTGGGCATGGCAGTGGGGAGAAGGCACAGGCCATGCCCCACTCCTCAGTCTGCCCTGGACCCCGGGTCCCCAGGACTGGCCAGTTCTCACTCAGGCTACAGAGTCTCTGTTCCTACTCTACTCTCCCCACCTCACCCCTGCCTCTCCTCCCCCGCCTGCTTCCTCCACAGACACCTCCAGGCCACTGAGCCTATCCGCCTTCACACAGGGCATCCCCACAGCACTCCCCAGGCTCACCCTCATTGCCCCAGACCCGGACACTGTCCACATGCTGCGGTCCAGCTGTTTCTGGAGAGGTCCTGAACCCCAGCATCACAGCAGGGTCTCCCCGGCACCTCACACCTGAGGCCAACATCACCACCTGCACCATTGCTGTGCCTACACCTCCAGCATTGCCCCCATTTCCCAAAGACCAGGCCAGTGACCTGGAGCCCCAGCCTTTGTCCTGCTTCTTGGGAGCCCCACCGCAGACACGCCTGCCATCCCTGCCCTCTGCCTCCCACAGCCCCACGGCCTTCCTACTCCTGGTGGCCCCAGCCCAGCCCACATCCATCCTCCATGCCATACTAGACAGAACTTTCCAGAGAAAGACCCTCAGCTTCTTCAAAGGGCACATAGGCCATCTTGAGTCCATCTACAACCAAGCCACCTGCCACTCTTCTCCAGGCCCACAGCCCAGCCTGGATCAGGGCTCTGGTTGTCCCTGTGCCTGGAGTTATGTACCCAAAACCACAGGCACACAGACACATGTGCTTCTAGCATGCCCTTCCCTCACCTGCTCGGCCACAAGCCTCGGGGTCTCATCATACCTCCCAGTCCTTGGTTGTCTCCTTTCTGTCTCCCCCCGCCCTGTCACACACACCCGCCACACTCACAGCTGGCCCATGGGAGCCTGTGGGTCCCAGCACTCAGCCCCAGGTCTGATGGGTGGGAACACAGACATCTCTCCCCGGGGGCATGAAGGGCTTGGTGTGGCCCTGGCCTCCTGGGAGTCCTGGTCCACAGAAGACATGAGTGGGCAGAGTTAACGACGTAGATGCTGCTGCCTCTACCTGTGTGAGCTGAGGAGGGGCAGTCTCACAGACTGAGACTCTGGCCCCATGGGGCCGACCTCTCTGGTCAGCCATGAGCCTGGGTGGGGCCCACGGGCCACCACTGGGGATGTTCTCAGACAACACAGCTCAAATGCAGGTGGCTCATGGACCCAGCCTTGGATCTGTTCTTATTTCTGAAAGAAAGAAGGAAAATGCGCAGGGGAGGCCTTCAACATTTTGATCATTGTGTGCTCGTGACTCAGGAATGAGGGCGGATGGAGGTCCAGGTCTCCTGTGTGCCCTGTGGCCCACCACCAAGCTCCCCCTTGCCTGCCCTACAGCCCGTGGGGTTTTGGCTAAGCCAGGAACCATAGTGCTAACCAGGGCCACCGTGACCGACAGCTCTACAGAAACCCAGTGCCAGAGCACTCCCAGGGCGGCCAGCTGCTCATTCTCTGGGGCTCACTGCAGGGCCAGGGGCGGGAGTCGCTGGGCAACCCAACGAAGCCGGGGGAGGGGAGGGAGTGGTGTTGAGCTGGTCACAGAAGGCCAGGGGATTTCCCAAGTGGTCATGACAGAGAGACGCGTTCCAGCCAGAGGGACGGACTGGGTCGCCAAGGCCCCGGGGGAGGCATGGTGTATGCAGCGGACTGGGTGCTGGGGCGCAACTAGGCCAGTGGTTCAGGGAGGGAGGGCAACACTGGGCCCCAGGCAGTGAAGGTCATCGGAAGGCGGAGCAGCAAGAACGTGACCTCGGGACCAAAGGGAGTCGGGTGTCGGGAAGGACATCCAAAGCCCGGGCCAGGAGACTGAGGTCAGGAAGGAACATGCCGGGGCCCAGGGTGGATCATCTCTTCAAGCAGAAGACAGACTTTCTAGTTCCTGGGGCTCCCTGGGGACCCTGGCTGTGGGGGGTTCTGCAGTCCCCAGCACAGGGACAGCTCACTGTGCCTATGATTACTTCCAGTTTTGGGGCCCGGGCACCCTGGTCACCGTCTCATCAGGTGAGTCCCCCTTGCACCTGCTCTGGGGGCCTCAGGCCAGGTCCCTGGGCCGGTCACAGCTCCACCATGGGCTGAGTGCCTGAGGCCTGCTGGGCCCCAGCCCCATTATGGACTAGCCTTTAGAGCTGACAGGGCCCCTGGTGGTAAGCAAGCTGAGAGCCGGCAGGGAGAAGAGAAGCCCCAGGGACAGGTGTTGGCTGGAAGGAGAAGTTGTGGCAGAGCAGGGTTGGGGCCAGGCCTGGATATGTGTGTGCTAGGGGCTGGCCTGGCACACTAGAGTCGCTATGAGCTCGACATGTGGGGACGGGGCATCCCGGTCACCATCTCCTCGAGTAGTTGCACCCCTGCCTGCCTCCCTCGTGCCCTGGGGTTGGGTGGCTGGGGGCAGGGAAGCCGGCTGTGTCCGCTGCATCCTTGGGGAATGAGTCCCAGCCCGTGCAAGGGGCCAGGGAAGATTTTTGTCTGGGGAGAAGCAGGGACTGTATCCCTGTGCAATAGTTTTGGTATCTGGGGCCAAGGTACCCAGGTCACCGTCTCCCAAGGTAAGATGACTTTCTGTCTGCTCCCTCTGTCTCGGGGCTGAGGAAGAAATATCCGGAGGCTCCTTGGTCTGTGTGGGGCCTTCTGGGGAAGCCAGAGGGCTGCTTCTGAGGCTGTGGGGTTCCCACCTTGCCGATGGCCTTTCTGCAGGGAGCAGGGCCTCCGGCCTGTGGAAGGCAGGTTGGCAGAGGGGGCTCCGTGTCCAGGGCTGGAGGGGGCTCACACCTGAGGATTCAGGAAGCCAGGCAGTGGTCAGGGGGTGAGGTTTTTGTACACCCCTTAGCGGGACCCGTGTCAATGTGACTACTTTGACTACTGGGGCCAAGGAACCCTGGTGACGGTGTCCTCAGGTGAGTCCTCCCGGCTTTCCTCTCCTCTCTCTGTCGGGAGGTTTTGGCTGCATTTGGGGAGAAAACGGAGGGTGCCAGGGTCTCGGACCTAGGGCTGGCTTGGTGGCCAGGCTCTCCGGGGACCTCAGCCACCCTCAGCTTCAGGGGCCACCTGGTCCTCTCAGCCCCACTGGCTGTGATCTGAGGTGGACCGAGGCCTTAGCCAGGTCCCACTTCTTGTCTGGGGCCCCACCAACATTGTCACAATGTGACAACTGGTTCAACTACTGGGGCCCCGGGACCCTGGTCACCGTGTCTTCAGGTGGGTCCTCACCCTTCCCACTCTGGCTGCACTTGGGGAGATCTGGGGTTTGGGGCATTTTGGAGGCCAGGAAATGGAGGCAGAGACAGGGTCCCCCAGACACGGGGCTGGAGATCACCTTTCCACAGTTGGGGACAAGGCGGCTCCTTTGAGTGGCCTGGCCACGTAACTGAAGCCTCCTGGGGGGCCCCCGTGACTGTGGTATAATCAACATAATTGGAGTCTGTGGCCCTGATGCACCTGCCGTCCGGGGCAGTGGCCCTTGGGGCTGATTGGACTTCTGAGTTCCTGTTCGGGGCTGCAGTTTGTAGTCGGGCGGCCCAGGCAGGCGGTGGTCTGGCTTCTGAGGGGCCAGGCCAGGACATGGGGTCTCAGGGGCAGTGGGGTGTGGGGAGCAGGACCAGTGAGGGGGTCCAGGACCCTCCAGATAACAGTGACTTGGAGGGTCGGCCTCCGTGCGGCCTGGAAGTGCAGGCCTCCAGAGGGGGCGATGCCAGGTGAGGCCCCCAGGGTTTTGATGGGTGCAAATGGAGACTTCACCACTGTGATTACTACGGTATCGATCTCTGGGGCCATGGAACCACAGTCACAGTGTCCTCAGGTAGGAGCGGCCCTGCTGGGGCCTTTATTTTCTACTCCTGTCTGTGGGGTTTTCTGGACATCGATGGCTGGTCCTCAGGACTGTCCCCCAGGGACAGGCTGGCCGGGAGGGGACGAGAGCTGGGTGCCTTAGGGATTTCAGAGCCTCCTGATTTTCTGATGCTTTTCTAAAACTGGAATAGTGCCAGTATGTCCGGGGCAGTAACTGAGCCCCTGAAGAGGGGCTGGAGGCTGGACAGGCCATGTGTGGGTGAGTTGCCAGGACCCCCATGGCCACAGGACAGTGTGGCTGTGGCAGGAGAGGTCTCGCTATCTGGATCCTGGTGTCGGCTCACGAGTGCGTGTGGGCAGCTGTGTTTAGAGCGCCACGAGAATGCCGCACAGAGAGCGCGCCGTGAAAGACTTTTTTCGGGATGAGGAGTGGTGTTCTGTGCTTACAATTCTTGGTCAACTGCAAGGACTAGGCGCCTAGGAAGGGCAGGCCTGGGGCCACCGAGCTCGGCTCAGTGCGGGCAGCTTCTGGGAGAAGACAGCTTGCTCCCTGTGAGAGGCGCGATAACTATCAAAGGACAGGGTGTGTCTGAAGTGGCTCCTGAGAAAAATAATTAAGACCACTGAGACTTTAAAATGTGAGAGATTTTCGAGCATGCCAAACTTTTTAATCCTATCAGTCAATTAGCAAGCATGAATCATGTCTTTCTGGAGTAGATACAGGACATAGCAACACGGTGTTGTGGCCCCCCTACCCAGAGCTGAGTTCTGACAGTAATGAATTAGTTTACTTTTTATTTAATTCAGCTATTCTGGAAGTGGTGTTGTGGAGTTGGCCAGGGGGCGGCGTGTGGGGCCGGACACCTGCACCAGGTGGCCGGAAACAGGTCACAGGGACGGTCTATTTCGGGAAACAAGTAAACAGACTTGACAAATTTATAGCTTATGGTTATGAAGAAATGGTTTTCGGGAGGTTTTGCTCAGCCCTGCGAGTCTGAAAAACAACACCTGCATAATTTGCATTTCTAAAATAAGACCGAGATGCTGGCAGAAGCTGGAACAGTTCCTTTTTTAACGATTTGAATTTAATTCTTCAGTCTTCGCTCGCCAACATCTCATTTATACTCATTTTGAAACTAAGACATGTAAGAAATGAGAAGTCTGGGGGACAGTTTATCAATGCATTCATGTTAACTTTTTAAATTAGTTATTTCCTCAAACGGTCATTAATCTCAAACATTTTCTAACACCCCGAAGCATTGTTTTCATAATTACTGTGTTCTAAATATTTTAAGTTGGTTGATTTTCTCTTCGTGATTAAGAAGCATTTAGATATCCTGATAAAGTGGCCTTCAATCATGTCAGCACTTTCAAGACTGCTTTTCGAGCACTCTTGTTGGGACATGTTTTAGGCGAAGCATGTGTGCTGATTGTCCTGAATGATTTCAGTGAAGAGTGTTGGTTGTTGGAGTAAGAGGAAGCCCAGTCAGGTCTCGAATCAGAAAGGAATTCAGGCCGGCTCCTGAGCTGAAGGAGCCCCAGTGGAGGGTCCACCTGCCCCCCCGCCCCCCCGGGGCTGCCGTGGCTTCTGCCAACTGGCTATTCATCAAAGAGCCAATTTTAATGGATTTGGAGGAATTCTTCAATACCAAAGACCCCACGGGACTGTCTGGTGACCAGGGAGCCAAAATGGTAAGAGAGAGGCAGTCCCGGCTGCCAAATTTGCTGCTCCGGAAAGTTTGTGTGTGGTGTTTTGGTTTCTGCTTGAGGAGGAGTCATTTTTTAAGATTGCTCAGGGAAACAATGAGATTTATTTGTATGACTCCTGAGTGGCCATTGTCTTGGCTTCTTAACTATGGATTCTATGGCTCAGATGCTCTAACATAAACAAAGTGCCTTTCATGCCATCTTTGAGTCATAAACGCAGCTTCGGATTTGAGGTCATTATTGTGCATTTGAAAGTAGCCTTCACCTTGTGAAAAGCTTCAGGACAAAGAGCAGCATTATATGCGCAAATTCAGATGAGATGAATTTTTGGTCATGTTTAATGATGATTTTTATTTAGAGGAAATTTAGTTAAAGTTGGGGGCCTACTTTAGACTCAGAAGGGAGGAGACCAGCTAAGGGCATGTACCCAGGACAGTGAAGGCCCCATGGGGAGAGTCCCCAGCACAGTTTTCTGAAGCAAAGTCTCTGCCTATTCTAAGGCAAAGACGGGTTTTCACTCTGATGACGGCAAACACTCCTCAGTCCTTATAAAATGTCTTGGTGAATTTGAACTTGCCGGGAAGTATTTTACCCAGGAAACTGAGGTGGTAGTGACTGATAATGCTTGGGGGCCAAGAGCTGGCTGAGACTGGACCGGGCCATGGAAAAATAGGGGATTCCACTGGAGAAATCCCCAAGGACACACAAGGCTGGGAAAGGTAGGGATGGGCACCAGAAGGCACTGACCCTGAGCTAGGCTCAGCTGTACAGGATTCCTGGATAAGATGGCTTTGGCGAAGGCACGCCGGTCTGGTGGCCTGACATTTTCTGGCCAGTCCCAGGACTGGGCTTTTGGGACTACACTGTACAGGACTACACTGGGCTGCCCAAAGCAGTCCTCAGCTAAGCTGGACTAAACCAGATTAAGCTGGCATTTCTGAGATGAGCTTGGGCTGAGCTGAACCGGGCTGAGCTAGGCTGAACTTAGCTGCACTGAGCTGGCCTGAACTGGGCTGAGCTGGGCTGAACTGGGCTGAACTGGGCTGGGCTGAACCGGGCTGAGCTGGGCTGAGCTGGGCTGGGCTGGGCTGGGCTGAGC